TGCATAAATCCAGCACTGTCAGTGGGCTGTCAAGTGGGGGGGGGGGTAGGTGGGTGAAAAAAGAGCTATGCATTGAAGGCAATAGCTTGGATGTACGAGCGCCATTGAGGGCGCGACTGGGCCATGTCTGAAAATGTCTCTAACGATTGATGTGGGCCGTCCCCGGGGTCCCCATCCAAGAAGACGGCAGTGACCGGCGCGGCTGAGTTTGCAAAACTTCCAGCTGGAGTGCTTACGCGCTCATCCTATGGAAGAAGTTATAATTTTATCGGCTAAAAACCCAAAAGATAGATAGGTAAGGGATAGAGTTGGACCAAACACAAAACTGATCATACTGAGACCCCTACAGTACCGATAGGTCCAGTGCTGGCGCCAATTACAAACATATATATGATTCCATTTTATTCCTAAAATTAATGCTTTACAATAACCGGCAAAAGACAATCATTTAATGCCGCTGTTTGATTTCATGCAAGAATGTCATGATTTACCTGCGGGTTGAAAAATCCAGTCAACCAGAACGACAAAGGCTTGCATTCTAACAACCAGGTAAACAATTGACTGCACCGATCCAGTAGGTCGGTAAACCAAAAGCCCAGTGTGCTTGATTCCCAGGAACACTGTTGAATAAAGGATGGGAAAAGGAAGTGTATAAATCATGCAAAAGATTAGTTGCTCGATTCATTGTTTGACCACGTTGTGCAATCGATGGCGAAATGCGCTTGTTCCTATAGTCGACACTCGTTTCGGGTTGTGTCCTTTAACCATCTACATTGTGTCTTATTACTGAAAAGTGAAGAATAGAGTACTCTGAAACCTGGTGACCGCTGTGCAGATGGTCTAACTCAAACGTTTTCGGACTAACTTTAGCCTCGTGCGTCCTTGGTAGGAGATGGTAACTTCTGCTCGTTCGACTACGTGTGTAATTTGTTACCACTTTGCACAAGTATACACGTATCACGTCACCACTTGTCATAACCACCATCTCGTACTGGTGGTCTTGTAAAAACGAGTTATGTACTTTATTCTCTGAGGTTTTCATTCTCCCCGTTATCGCCATTCACATCGTCTCACAGACCATGTGGTTGAGTGTGTGTCGTCGAGCTGATAGCTGTTATTAAGTGATTTACTCTGTTGGTCACAACCGTACTAGCGGAATCATGGCTTTGATACACAGCTATTACTGGGAGTGCTAAAAACAAAGCTTCTTTGTACTCACACATCGAAAACATAGCTGCGAGACGGGATGTTCGCGGAAACGGAATACTCTAAATTTACGGTACAACCGCACAGCTCATCCTGACGTTTCGTTGAGCGTCTTAGGCTGGTACTTTACCGCTACTTACGCTACCTCCTGTAGGTGCCCTCTACGTGGACACTGTCCAGAGACTGTAGTTGAATGTTAGAGAATACTAGTTTTTTATGAGGGAAACTATTTACAAGGTTGCTGAAAATTCGTCGACAGCCCACGACCGGTTTCGTCCTTCTTGGAGCCTATCATGTAGACGCAGTCGCCGACTTTCTGTCAACCATATGTTCTACTTCAACCTCATTTCGTGCAATTTGGTTTCAAGTAGAACATAAGGTTGACGGAAACTGCGCCTACCTGATGATCCCCAAGAAGGGTGAAACCGGTCGTGGGCTGTCGAAAGGTTTTCAACAACCTTGTGAGTAGTTTCCTTTGTGAAAATATACTGTGATATTTCGAATATCGTGCCAACTGAATGAGGCGGCCTGTGTGCAGCACATTTAGTTGTAGAATATCATAAACGAGAGATTCAGTTGAGTCTATCATGAAACCAACTTGATTTGCAAATGAGTGTATTTCTCGAATATTAGTTTTTCCTTGCTTTCAAAATGTCTCATTTCGTTGGCAGAGTGATCCAGCCACAAAAAGCAATATGTTGGACAATGGATTTCTTGCCTCATGTTTCGCGCTTTGTTTGAAAAGGGGAGTTTCCCATTTCTTCAGACGTTCAACGAGAGAATGCTCTCTCCGATTGTGTACGACATAGTCTGAGGTCAAACGTTTATTCATTCGTCCTTGCTAAGACGAGGCAGTCTGGATAGAAACTGACAACAAGAACGCCATTGACATTGATTAGCAGCTGTACCTAGCAGCGTCTCCAACCAGGCACAGTGGCAGTCACGTGATCCCTATCCTGGGAGGCGACCAGTACCAAACGTTTCGTAAGCTCTTTCATACTCTTCTTCCAGGTCAGATGTTGGCTACCTGTCTGTTTCCGCCATTCTGAATTGGGTAGGGAAAACAGTACTCTCTTCGGCAAACCACGTTTGGACATATGCAGCTTCTGGTGCTGGACACGTTCTTCACTGGAAGTCCCCGTCGTACAACCGAAGACTCGCTTTCTAACCACCTCGTGATGGATTCACCGACACCAGCTCTCAACACCCAACTTCAACTGTATTAGCCTAGGGGTCTGTGCTTTCTCTTTTCTAAGAGGTTTGCTTTTCCCTCTCACCTTTCACACACAACCATTATATGTAGCTGCCAGCTGACGATTAGATCATAAAGCCTTCCTAGGCTTCCTCTTCAACGAAACCTATCTTTAACCAGATCCATATCCGACAATGATGAGCCATGCGTCAATCAGTCACGTGTTATCAACCATATTCCACACATAGTCCGGTATCAAGGGATATCATTTTGACATCTCGGACACCTGACCAATTAGAATACGAAGTGGACTTTGCACAGCGGATTTGTTTAGAGAACATCACCCAAACCAATTGCCTACCGTTAGCTAGTACATGTTAGCTATCGATCAGCTAGCCTGAAGCACACGTGGCTTGTGCAGACCGCTAAAATGTCTGTCACCGCATACTACTCACAAGAGGATATTGTACCCGTAATATCGCCCCAACGTGGTTCGGCTGGGATAGATTATCGCATGCGCAGTAACTGAGAACTGGCTAGCTAGCAAGTCCTAATTTAAGATGGGGCGAACAGTACGAGAAGCATTCAGACTGATGTCACGTCTTCTACCCCTCTGATACCGAATATCGCATTCAACTTCAGTGATTCCACCTTGAAGTCAATCAGCAAAGCAAAACTCTGGACTTTAGACTTTAGAGAAGCGTAGTAAGTCACCCTGTATTGTTGACTATACGTTCCAAGGACTGTACGTACTGCGTCATCGAAGAAGCATCTTGTACTGATGTCACACGACCGACCGATCGGTCTCTCACCTTTACCGGACTGGAAGCAACACAGCTGGTGTTGTAACGTTCGGAATGTGTTAAAAAAAGTGCACCATAAGTATCGGACCCCCGTCTGTTATCAACTGCGTGAGTCGAATCAGTAAAGCGGAAGCCTCCGTTTTACTTGGTTTACCACGGTTTGCAATCAATGTTGGTTTATTTTGCCTTGATCCGCTCTTTCCTACTCATTTTACCATTTACAATCAACTTGCGTGAATTGTTAGCAACGATGGTAATAATAAACTTATAGAAGAAGCTGGATATAGGGCCGTTACCTTGATCCAGTTTTGGGGGATTTTGGCCTCGAAAATGGCATTCATTGCTTTCCCCAACAGTTCATCAATGACAACCACGCCTTCCATGGCCTGGAGTAATTCACTGAGAGTAGTCGAAACAAGGCGTAGCAGTCGGTTCATTCGCTCGACTTCTTGGCGTAAAAATATGGTCATCGGTTGCAAGAGACCTAGGGCTTCCAATCGAGCATTCATTTTGTGAGAATCGATTGGACTGGGCAGTTTCGAAAGCATGTCACTGCAGATACTCGTGACCAGTGACTCTCGGCTGATTTCAGTTGGCACTTTGTCAGGCTTCTCGCCATCACCCAATCCTTGAGTTCCAACACCACATTCTTTGGGTTCCATTGCTTGAATACAATCAAGGATGTATCCGCCTGCACGAGTGGAATAGCTGCGACGAATAGAGGGAAGTGTGCATGTGTGGAGCGATTGGACGATACCAATCGCAACAACTTTTTACCTTATTACATGCATACTACAGAATTCGTTTTTAAATAACATGAAATTTTCAGGATATCAAAAACGGAAATCCTCTTTGTGAACAATGCCGCATTCTCATAAAGGAATCTACTCACAAAGTTACTGAAAACTCTTCGACAGCCCACGACTTGTTTCGCCCTTCTTGGGGCTCATCAAGTAGGCGCAGTCCCTGTCGCTAATTTCGTGTATAAGGTTGACGGAAACTCAGGGATGCGCCTGCCTGATGAGCCCCAAGAAGGGCGAAACCGGTCGTGGGCTGTCGAAGGGTTTTCAGCAACTTCATGAGTAGTGCATTACAAGTATACATGTATCGCGATAGCTCGAATATCGTACCGACTGAAGCATGAGGCAGCCTGGTGAAACACATTCAGTTGCCTGGGGACATCACAAACGAGAGATTCATCTGGGTTCCAGACAAGACCTCGTGTGATGGGCGTAACAAAAGACAGATAAAAAGACGGAAACAACTGAGTTGGAGTTATTCAAAAGTCTCAAGGGTTTAGCATTGTCAATCGCGCTTAGTTTTGTGTAGGTGCCACGGATTCTGTCAGGTGTTCTCCACTGAAAGTTCAATGTCCAAATCTGTTCTGCCTTTCTCTTCAATCAAAATTTTGGAGAATCACCATTGAGTATCTGTTTTTGTACTCATAAAAGGAGGTGCCGAATGTACGCTCATCATTCCTCAGTGTGGAGGCTATTCATTTCAAAACGACGTGGTGGGCGTTGTCTTTCAACGGGAAGATGGAGGCTTGTGCAGGCACACTACGCCTTTTCTCCTGACTTTCAGAAGAGGTATATATTAAACAAGAAGCCTGACTTGCCTGATGGCTAAACGGCTGGCAATTATTAACAGGAAAACGAATGCATAGTGATCAATACGGCCAAATCTAACTGCACGCTTAGACAGTGACTCCTGGTAGTGAAAATATCACGTGCCGCGCATCATTTCCGTCAACTAATGGAGTTCCAATAAGCTGATAAAAAACTACATTGGCCCGCACCGCTTCAAAAGAGTCAAGCCATAAACCGGAAAACATACTAATATTTCTGCATATTTTTTACCGTTGCAGCGTGACACCCATAATTATACCCGAGAATATTTCACAAGCAACCTTATGAGTTTGACAAACTAGATCAAGCCTCGCAAGGAAAATCATTAATTTGCTTTGCGTGCACAACGGGTCGCTTAGGTTTCAACCGCTCCTAGGCAGACAAAAATGTGCGGTACGATACTTCAAGCAAAAACTTCATAACGAGAAGCGCTAGAAAACGTTTGGCTGTACTCTGACTACATATTTAATAGCGCCTGACGCTCACGGTGTGATACTACTTCTGAGGTCGGTGCGAATTTACGTAAAGTCCTAGTTCCACTTCACATAGAGAGTGGGTTTGTAAAAAAAGGTGTTACGGTTTATCGCAATTCAGAATGACGACTCACATAGGACGTACCGTGGAGCTCAAGCCTGAGCTGGATTCATCTAAAGATATTTTTCCTACCAAATTGAACCTCCCCGGGTACGCGCAACAGCGAACTGTTTACAAAACATTTATGTTTTATTATTCAACATCAGTAACCGGATTTGAGTTACTTCGGGGGTTAGGCAACGGGTGTAATTCATGGTGGAATCTGAGCAGAATGTCCTTGCTCGATATCTGTCAAACATCTCCAGTCAAATGAACTCTGAAACTGTGTTGGTTCGGAGGTTTGGAAGTCACGCGACTGAGCTCCATTGCGAAGCTCATTTATTCACCGAATTCACTACGTTTCAAAGTTGGAGGGCTTTATTCAGGGGTGTTTATTTTGGTAATTCTGCGCTATTGGGCGCCCACCACTACGCTCCTCAATGACGCACTAATGATGTCACCTCGATTGGTGATGAATTCTTGTTTCCATTGTTATCAGGAAGGCGCAACACACCATGCTTGACGCATATCTACGACTAGCATTGGCATCGAATTCGTCGTCATCATCATCATCATCATCATCATCATCATCATCATCAGCATCATCATCATCATCATCATCATTATCACCATCATCATCATCATCATCATCATCGTCATCATCGACAGCATAACGTCAGTGTTCAACACCGATGCTTCACTGCCGTACAACCATGATTTATTTGATAGCCTTATTTTGAAGAAAAGAATAGAGGTGGCCGGGGAAGGGAGTTAGTGCTTGCTTATTACGATCATTTCAAGGTGCCTACACCTCCAAGCACTCATTCAGTCAATCTGGATAAAAATTGACAACAAGAACACCACTGACATCCGTTGGCAGCAACGTCTCTTGCAGCATCTCCAGCCAGACACAGTGAGGATCACGCGGTCCCCATCCTGTAAGACGAGTATCACCGACAGCACCCAAGCGTTTCGTGATCTCCTTCATA